TTCAGTTTTGCAACACTTAATGCTTTCACATTCTCTGCTCAGTGTATTTGTTTTGCTTTCACTTTGCTGAGCTCGCTATATTTTTGTTTGGCTTCAAGTGTTTTCCACTCCCAATTTTTCGCTATTTGGCTGTTATACTAATTCGGTATGAGTGTATATTATATATATATATATATATATGTGTATGTATGTATATATATGTATGTATGTTTGCATACAATTTTGTTCATAGCTGCATGCCTCTGAGCTATGCGCTTGTAGTGGTGCGCCAAATGTGTTTGCGTTCGAGAGAAAAACTGAATTAAATTGATCCTTGGCTGCTACTATTAATCAGTCAATCAGTTGTGGTCCACATTCATTTTTTGTGGTGTGTGTATGTGGAAAGTGTGTCAGTGGCGTATGTTATCAGGGTGGTGAATAATGCTGGATTTTTGTTTTGAAAGCGGTGTTAATAGTTTTCTTTGAACTTAACACGCTAGAAGTGCTTTTTATGATTGCAATGCTTTCTTTTGTACAATAGAGACAATTTTTCATTTTGGTTTTTCAGAAGTTTTGCTTCTGAGATATCCATTTAAGTAACATACAGACCAATACTAAAATATTCGTTTAATTAATAGTAGAGTTATAGTAGATTTATAGATAAGAGGGCAAAGCTGGTTTAGCGATAGATTATGAATTATTTATTTTAATAATTTTATTATTTGTTTATAAAAATAAATTAAAAATGCACAAATAAAAGCATTTGAACTGCTAGAGCTATGGAAATACTCAACAATATTCTCCCCTAATATCCATTAGACTGGAGTGCTCAAGGGAGCCGCAAGCGAGGGAAACCTGCCAATACCTGGAGGCGACAAGTTGAAGCAGAGTCGCCAGAAACATGTCTTTCCTGGAGACAAAATAAATTTCCAGCATTAAATAAATCGAATTATAATTTGTTAATTGACGCTCGGTGTTCCACCTAGGAACTTTGGGACATATTCTCCATACATGCTTGTATATTTAAGCAAATCTGCAAGCATAAACAAATTATTAGGCGAATTATTAACTGAGTTTTTTTCTCAAGTACTTGATTTTTTTACTTGATGGCATTAAAGCGTGGGTGGCGATTAATTTTTTTTTCAAAGATAAGTAGTTTTATTAAAAAAATATTTTAGTTTCCTGCCCATTTGTTGCAACCGCCGATAGCGAACTACTATAGCATATAGCTGCCATACAAATTGACCGATCAAAATCAAGTTCTTGTATGGAGACTTTTATAACTTGTGAAGTGTATTATAGCTGCGGCGCAACCGAAGTTAATGGATTTTATTAGTATTTTTGTGTTTTTTTAAATGGCAAAATCAAGTTACAAAATATATAGAAACGTATAAATTTTTGGATTAGAGTTCCATGTTGTTAAGTATTACTTCAATATCTTGTTTGATGCTTGAACTATGTTTTACAAAGTCAACTTTTAAAAAATATTTTAAACTGTTATGCGCTCTCTCATTGTGCAAATTACAGCACTTTAGATACTAGCAACATTCAAGGCGAGTCATAAATTATATACATACTATATATGTATAGATATATTGTACATACATCCTGCCACAAATATTCACATCAAATGAACACTATTGACGCATTCGATGTGTTTCTGTATTAGTTTTTAATATGATTAGTGCTGAAACTCATTGATGTGACAGGCAATAAAGAAATGTTACGTATACGCCGTGGTGCTGTGCCACTGCAGCAAATGCAAATGTTTTGCATATGCATGAAATGAATAAATGAATATTTTCCGTGATCAAAATTGTATTGAAAGAGTGAAACAACAACAACAATAACAGTTGCAAGATGCGCTTATCAATACGTTTGCATATATTTGTCCACATATGTATATGGGGCGTATGAGTAACAATTAAACCAGCCTGAATCTAAAGCTGGCTTTGATCATAAACCTACATATGTTTCTTTTTAGATGCCCCAACCAATTTTATAACAGAAAAAGCTTTTTTATATCAAAATGCTGGAATTTTGTTTTTCAGCATTTCTGCTTTACTATTGACATTTTCGTTTTTTCTTTGCTTTTCTTTCGAACTTTAAACTTTTAAATAGGTATTGGTATTTTTTGTTTACCTTTACATTTGCTTTGTACTCACCCATCAATTTGATGACTTCGCGATGGCTAATGAAGACATTCAGGTAGCCATTCGCAAGCAACGGAAACCAGCCGACCAGCGCACACCAAACATTCAACCAAAATTTTGACGCCATCTCTATGACACTATTGCCCGTTGCCGGCTGCTGACTGCTGGTGTGGGAAAGCGATGCGGCTTTGAGATTCGTACGAGTAGTCAACTCAATTAAAGCAGACAACGGCTAAAGGATGCTGGCAGCGCGGCCGAAGAGGAGAACTTACAAACGTATGCTCGTTGAAACGTTGCTCCAAAGTCAATTTAAAAGCGGCGAAAGAGAGTGAGCCAATAAAAATTGAAGAGAATTGCAAAAAAATAGTGGAAAACGTCAACTGATGGCAGTTGTACGTTGGATATTTGCGTTGTCTTGTTTGCTTTTCGCGTTCTTTTGCAATGTGTTTGTTGACTTCTTTTTTGTGCTGGCTATTATCCACTGGTGCGCTCATTCAACGCCCGCTCTACTGGTTGTCGCCGTTGTGGTAGGCGTGGGAGAGTGTGCTGCTTGTTGGACTTGTTTGGCACAGCAATACACGAACCGTGCGAAAGAACAGCGTAACGGCAGCGACGACTACGAAGGAAAACCGAGTTCAGTGACTGTTCGCAAAAAAAATCAACAACAACAGTGTCAGCAACAGACACACACACACACACTGTTATACACGCAGTGGCAATTTCAGTGCGCCTCGTATTGCCTAAGGACTGTGATTTGATTCTTTCGCACTTTTAATTTCGTGTTTATTTTTTGCCTTCTTCTACTGTCGCTGTTGCTATGTACTGCGTGCACGTCTAGTTGCTATTGTTGTTGTTTTGTGGCTGAATTGGTTGTTGGTCGTTGACCAGCACTTTCACCAAAAGCGCCGCACAATCAACAGCCGTATCGAGTTGTGATTGCAATGCCGCCAGCCGCACACTTGGCTGCGCTCGTGCGCTTGTGCGCCTCCACGTATGCAACGCCTGTGGCAGTGTCTGTGGTGTGGACGGCGTCGGCTATGCGGTTTAATGCGGCTCAATATGTTCTTGTTTGCTGTTTATTGAAGTTACTGCTGCTGTGAACTGTTGTTTTTGTTGTTGCAGTCGCAGCTGTGTTGCGTTGACAAGCTGGCGTGCAGACAATGGCAGAGGGGGAGGTGTAAGCGGTTGCACTTGCTGTAGTTACAACAGTTTGTGTTTTGTTTTTCAATGTTGCCGTTGTTCTTGTAGTCGTTGTGCTTATTCGGTTGTTAGTCGTCGCATCGGTCAGGCAACAGTCGTCAGCTGCCATTTCTGTGTCGTCAGATGAGTATGCGAAACCATATAGCTTGTTTTTGTTGCTGTGATGTGTGAGGCTGCTGCAACGTGTCTTTCAAACTTCAACGACAACTTTTTTTTTACCACTTTTTTGTTTGTTTTCTTATTCTATTTTTTAATATGTGTTATCAGTGTTCTAGCTGTGATTTTTCTACACTTTTCTTGGTGGCTTTTATTTTCGACAGTTCTTTTCTCGTGTTATTTTTTATGTCTCTTATAGGCGGCATGTGTGGCGTACATTTACATACCGACAAATGCCGTTAGATTTTTGGTTGTCACATTGGTACTTGACATGCCCTTGCTTTTTGGGTGCCGCCCGTTTTCTCTGTCACTATCTACCCTTTCACCTTTATTTGTATGACACCTTCTGCAATGAGAAGAACGTATGAAAAATTATATTAGAAAACTCAGTTTTAAAAGGAAGAAAAAATTTGAATCACATATGGTTTAGGAAATGGGAAAATAGGCAAACAAAATTGGTTTTCGACGCAAGCATAGCAACGAATAATGAAATTTAAACTTGGAAAGTACCGGAAACTGGCAAATTTAATCACACGAACACATACATATATATGCTGATGTGCATCGACTTTTGTATGTCTTCAGACTCTTTTAAGAAATATGGTATGAAAAAGGGTAAGCAAAAACAGGAAATAGAAAGAAGGATTTCCAGGCGCGATCTGTAAACATTGTTTTTTGTTTTAGCGGCGACTATCTCGAATAGTTCTAATGTCTCTGCCGCTGAATTTCAGTGACAAGTTGCTTTCCAGATGGTGTGTATTCTTTCTGCAAAAAATATGAGGCCATTTTGGCACCATGTTCACCAATTTCTTAGCGAGCTTGTCGACCACCTTCTTTCTCTTTATGCTCCGTTAACCAGTGATCCAGACGAGAGAGGCCGGGATGCGTGTTGAAAAACTATTAAGCTCTTTCATGCAATCAAGGACCATCAACAATATAATTTCTAGAACGAGGCTGGCTTGAGTTCTGCTTGATCATCATTATGATATATAAAAATATGACGACTGAGATGTTTCGGAAACTTCTTCACTGATCGATGAGCATTTTTCCGGCACCCTCTGTTCTTCACAAATCTCTTCAAATGTGAGCTGAGTCGATATTTTAAGAAATCACTGTTTAAATTGATGTCGTATCTTGGATTCCTATTCACCTTTCCAAAGTGAAAAAACTTCAAATCGATCATGCTTTCATATTTTCGAAAATTTTTACTTTATATAAGTTTATATCTCATTCTTCTTGCAGTTCTGTTTTTAAACAATACCCAATGACATAAATCAGTGCTAGAACATCAAGTGACATTTGGGAATTGGGTATGAAATACCCAAAAATACCCAAAACCATATGAGGCATATATGTAAAGTTACTTTAAAAATAGGACTAGCGCGACATATCACCGTTGAAGGGAGCATAAATCCCTTTGCAACCTCGGCAACAAGCAGCGTATGCCGCCAAGGCGTGTACCGGAGCCACATTGTCAGCGCTGCTCCAGAGCTGTCATGCTGGTTGCTTAGGCGGTCGAGTCAGGCGGATTAAACCCAGCCCAAAATACCAAACATTCCAACATAGCAACACTGGAGTGGGGAGATGTGTGGCATGTGGCTGGTTTTCAGCTCGCAAAACACCACACGCCAACACTCACACACACGAGATTGGCATTGGTTTGTTTGCCTGCCTGCCGGCGCGTCCTTTTGAAGGTTTCGTTGTTTACAGTTCACTTTTTTTTTGGTTTTTTTTTTGCTATGCTCTCAGTCAATTTTTGTATTGCTTTGATTTTTAGCTATTTGCTCTTTGATTGTGGTGGTTTTTGTTTTTGTTGTTTTTTATTCTATATCATTCATGTTTTGTGCTCTGTTTTTGACTGCCACACCAAGTTTTCTAAACAATTTTAAATGCTACGAACTTCTTGAGAAAGTAATTAAAAAGTTGCAAAGATTAAGAGCCTCTCACTCTCTCTCTCTCTCGAGGAGTGTTGTCGCGTGCAACATGCCAGCAACGGCAACATGCAACAAAATTGTACTCTATGTAGGGATACAAGTGTACCATGTATATAAAAAACCCGTTTCGATCCACAACCACATATGTGTGTCTGTATGTTTGTCGTCTAGCAGCTGCTTCACACATTTGCTTCATTGCGCATCGCTGAAATTTGAGTGCGTGTTTGTTGCTGGCAATTTGCAGTATTTAATGCCTCACCTTTGCTGTTGACTTTGATTGCTGTTTTATTTAAGCTTTCATGCAGAACTGTGAAGTGGCGTATATTTCGGTTATTCGGAACTTTGCGAAAAGAAGAAGAAGAAGTCGACTGAAAGTAAATAAATCTGAGGAATTATTTAATTAAGTTCTTTCCGAATACAGTGTATTCCTCAGGGTGTTGTTAAAAGTGCAGCAAAATTATCTGAAAATAAATTCTCAACTCAACTTAGTGAATCAAATTTAGTGTTGTGGGTATATGTTATTTAAAATTAACTTCAGGTTTTCGGACACTTTTGGTTTATTTGTAGGTAAATTTTTTTAATAAAACAAAAAAATTCGATTAGAAAAAAGCTGAGTTTTGAATTAATTTTTTTTGGCACTCCTTTCGCTAGTTAACTGAGACTAGACATGATTAAACTTCTCACCAATTTGAACAAAGATACCTTGTCAAAAAAAAAAAAGTTTTCATACAATGATTGGAGTTTGATCTGTCAGTTATATGTCAGCTATATGCTTTAGTTGAGATAATAGCGATGCCTTTGCTTATAAGCAATGCCAAATTTCGTGAAGATAAATTGTCATAAAAAATTTTGTCCATGCAAGGACTTGAGTTTAATCGGTTCTTCTTAGTGAGTAAAGGATCGTGCGCAAATTTTCAGATCACTATCTCAAAACTAACTATCTAAAGACTAATTCGCGATAAACGGAAATATATATATATATATTTTAGGGCTACCGACGTTTCCTTTTGGGTGTTAACATTGTGACAAGCTTAATATACCCTGATCAGTGTTTAAAAAATAAATATTTTTACAAAATCTTTTAGTTAAATATTATATTAGCCACTGAGTAGCCTTTGTTTGTCTATTTATTTTTATATTTGTAAGTAGAAAATGCCTATGTTTTCGACAATTTTTATGCTTGGGAGTGACTCTCTTAGAAAATAATTATACGATTTTATAATTGAGAGCATTGTAGATTTTTCAAACATTATGAGCTCATCAAGCGCCACTTTATCCAATTTGGAATGCAAAGTAAAGTAAGCGAATAGCTTTTTCTGAAATCAAGGAAGTCTGTAGAGTCTCTTAAGAAATGTGCGCACCAGCAATAAGAAATTTTTTCTCTAACTAAAAATATTTCTTTTAGTGGACTGCATGGACCGAGTTGCTGAGTGAATCGTAGAATCGATAAATTTAAGATATCGGACACGCTAATCTCTACAGTGCCATTATCGATATAGTATGATGTATATTAACATACATATATGTATTTGTGATTAGGCGAAGGCTGCTCCATAATAAAATAATGAAAGTTTCTCGGCATATATCTCGTCCCCAGGACTACCAACTAGCACGTAATAATTATTTTATGTGTGGATGGAATTAAGAAGAACTTTTAAAGTACTAATTTCGATAGAGTTGCAGTCAAGCTTTCTTAAATTGCTTGCGTTTTGGTAAAAGTTAAATATTTCATATAGGGTTGCCATTTCTTGTTGAATTCTAATTATTTAGATTTTATGTGTGCATTTGAATTTTAACTTAATTAAATATTAAAATTTCTATTAGAGTGAAAACAATTATTCTATACATGTTTAAACATTTTTCGAACGTTTTTTCTACTTTTTAGTACCAACTAGTTATTTATAGCAACCTTATGTGTAACTAACATTTTATTCGTATTTCTATAACTTGCAGGGCCCTATAATCTTTTCAAGCAAAAGTTTGCTCACGAAGCACGTAAAGAAGCTAAAGAATTTTTCCACTCGCACACTTATGAGCGGAAATGTGAGCAGCACTTGAGCGAAAGAAATTCCTAAGTATGCAAAATTCAAGCCAATCACCCACTACAGCCGCCTTGGTATAGAATAGCACAGTTATTCAGTTGCGAGGCCAAGAAATTGGTGTTAAGTGGTCGTTTGCTAGTTTTGATTTTCTAAAATTTACTATTATTAATGTGTTTGTTTTATTCAGTTTGCATTTTTTTGTTGCTATTTCTCACCAGCAGGCGATATTGATGGTGTTGTTGTTGCCCTGCCGTGCCTTGGGTGCCACTTTATGCTGGCTGAGTGCGCTGCGATTGCGGATGCAAGCGTGTGTGCAAATTTTTACTTATACCATAACATATATATATATGTTTAGTTATATACAGGAATATGTATATAGGTATTAAATTGTTTTTGGTTTAAGTGTGTATATTGCCGAGTTGTGAACGAAAAATTTCCTTTTGATTAAAATGGTCGAGTGTTGCAAGAGTTCCTAACATATTTGTTACAAACATGCCAATACATATGCAAGCATAAAGAGAGCAAGTGGCTTACATAAATTTTACTAAACACACATATACATACATACATATATTGATATTTATGTGCGTGGTAGTTTAACCGCCGGTTGTTGTTGAAGCGCATGAAAACTTTCACCAAAGTTTAAAAATACAAAATTTTCTGCTTTTTCTCTAAACTTGGTTGTTGTTTTTTTTTTTGTATTTTTTTGCTGCGATCGCTGTTGCCTGCTGTGGAATTGTGGTATTTGCAAGAAAAGGAAATTTTCACCAGCAACAGCTTGGTAGCTGTTGTTATCGCTAAGCGTTCTATACATTTACGCACACATGCAACATGCACAACTATGAAGCTAATGTTCTCTCACACACAAACACCCGTCGCAAGCGTCCACAGTTTCCGCAGCGGTTGAAGCGTGCGCCCAGCGCTCAATTTCAACAACAATAACACGCTCAAGCATCAATTTCAGTATGTTGATTTTGAGCGGTTGAGTAAAGTGTTGCCATGCAACCCTTATTTAATATTTGTGTGCAAGTATGCGTGTCCTTCAGCATTTATTTCGCGAAAACTTCTTCTGCTAAAGCAAAGCGCACAACGCGCTGCCATTGAGCCGCTACTGCAAGGACGTCAACGACGACGACGATGATGAGAGCGGAAGCGCCACGGCGTGTGGCAATAGTAGCGACTTCCGCCTGAGCGGCGGCGCATTTGTGTGAGCCTTGACAGCGGGCGCGGGTTGAGCGGTGGTGCCACCGTCGCAACGCTGACTATGCAACAAACTTTTCATTTCCAAATGTTTGCTAGTTGAAGCAAGCATCAGCAGGGCTTGGCTGTGACTCTCATGCACGCCGCCTGCCAGTCAGCAATCAAGCGCT